AGAATGATGCACCAAGCATCCAATCGAAAACTCTCTCCTATAGTAGATTACTAGACACTTATCAAGTCTTCTTTTCGAAGTTGGATGATGTACAGATTCCGACCAATATTCAAGAAGCTTTGAATCACCTAGGATGGAGCATTCTGTTAAAGAAGAAATTATGGCCTTGGAAACAAAAATCAAACATGGGAAATTACAAATCTCCTACAAGGAAAGAAAGTTGTGACTTGCAAATGGGTGTTCACTGTAATTCTGTAAAGCATAAGGTGGATGGTAGTGTTGACAGACTGAAAGCTAGACTGGTTGCAAGAGGATTCAGTCAGTCATATGGAATGGACTATTAGGAAACCTTTGCTCCTGTTGCAAAGCTTAACACCATTAGGATTCTTCTTTCCTTAGCATCACATTTAGATTGGCCCCTACATCAACTAGATATCAAGAATGTATTCTTGAATGGGAACCTGAAAAAAGAAGTCTACATGGAGATTCCAATGGAAATTCAGAAGTCTTATGGAAGGGATAAAGTGTGTAAGTTGTTGAAATCCTTATATGGATTAAAGAAGTCTCCAAGAGCATGATTTGTAAGATTCTCAAAGATGTAAAAGGCCATGGTTTTAAATAATGCCAGGCATATCATACCTTGTTTTTGAAGTAGTCATAAAGAGACAAAATAGCAGTATTGATTGTATATGTCGACGACATCATCGTTACAGGAAATGATATAGATGAAATAATGAAGATCAATTAAGCTTTGTCCAAAAAGTTTGAAGTTAAAGATCTATGATCACTTAGATACTTCCTTGGTATGGAGGTAGCTCGATCAAACAAAAATATATTTATTTCCCACAATGTTTAAAATTGCGTATTCGGGTATTGAGGCATTTTTCATTCATGAGGCGAGACGTAAGCCTCAAGAAATCAAAAGATTGCGTAAACATAAAATGATAAATTTTTATATACTAATGAGTGAATAATATAAAACATAAAAAAACATTAGATATGAAGTAAAATCAAAATATCCCAATAATAAGACAACATGAAATATAGTTTAACTCAAAATTCTATCTTTCCCAAATCCTAATATTCTTTTCATTAACATATAATTCTGATTTCAAAAAATAAATAGCAATGACATATCACATAAGAACTCATAAGTCATCAACACTATCATCACTAAGGGGTTCTTCATTTGAATCATCATTATGATGAACTGCTCTCTCCCCTTCCTCCTCTCCTATCGAGTCCAATGTCGGGCATTTACTTTAAGATTTATGTAAGTTTTAATATATATATAGCGTGAGGCATAAGCCTCGTGCCAGTGAGGCGAGGCGGGCCTTAAAGCGGGTCAACCAAGTTGAGGCGCAAGCCTCATAACAAAAACTTGAGGCGTAAGCATCGAGGTGTTTTTTACTGGAATTGCGCAAAGGCGAGCCTCATATTGCGCAATTTTAAAACATGATTTCCCAATGCAAGTATACCTTAAACCTACTGAAGGAGGTCGACATGCTGGGATGCAAACCAGCCAGTAGACCTATGGATCATAAGAAGAAACTTGGGATAGAAAGGAGGGAGTTCCAGTCGATAAAGGAAGATATCAACATCTTATAGGAAAGCTTATATACCCCTCCCACACCCATCTAGATATTGGATTTGTTGTGAGTATGGTAAGCCAATATATGAGTAATCCTACAAATGAGCACATTGAAGCAGTATATCAAATCTTGAGATATCTCAAGAACACTCTTGTAAAGGGGCTACTATTCAAGAAAAATGAAGATATGAAATTGATCATTTATTCTGATGCAGATTGAGCAAGAAGACAGGTTAATAGACGATCGATCACAGGATATTGTTCATTTGTGTGGGGGAACCTAGTGACATGGAGGAGCAAGAAACAATATGTTGTTTCCAGAAGCAGTGCAGAATCTGAACTGAGGGCATTATCATTTACTATTTGTGAAGGTATTTGGATCATACAAGTATTGATTGAACTTTGAATAAAGATTGAAGGCACGATAAAATTGAAATGTAACAATCAAGTCGCAATCAGTATGGCCAGGGATCCAATACACCATGACAAAACAAAAAATATTACTATTGATAAACACTTTACATCTGAGAAAATAGAGAACTCATAAATTGAAGCAGTATATATCCCAACTCATGAAAAACTTGTAGATGTTCTAACAAAGGAACTACCTAGCTTTCTACTTGATAAGTTTGTTTGCAAGTTAGGATTTTACAATCTGTACAATCCAACTTGAGGGGAGTGTTGAATCACGCAGCTAAGGGGAGGCCACGTCAGCAATTCGCAGGCAGCAATCCGAGTGTTGCAGTTGGAGATTTGTAGGCAGCAATCTGAGGGCTACAGTTGGAGATCCATGGGAAGCAATCCTACGGATGTAGTTGGAGATCCGTGGGCAGTAATCTGAGGACTGTAGTTGAAAATTCGTGGGATATGATTAAATGTCGTTCCTTCTTCTATTTATTCTCCTATAATGTATATATATATATATATCATATATGCAATGATTCCAAGAAAATTAATAGAATTTGAATTTCCCTCTAAACAATTTCTTCAAGCTAGCCAAAAGAATATGTCAAATCTCATTTAAAAAATAAAGTGTCTTCTCAAAAAGTCTTTGTATGTGTTAAAGCAGCCTCAACGACAATGGCATAAAAATTTTGATTCATTTATAATTGAGAATATATACAAGAGTTGTTTTGACAAATATTTACTTCAAGAGATTCTTCAAGATAATCTGGTTTTGTATGTCGATAATATGCTCATAGCTAGTGACAATAAGGAGGAGATAGCAAAAGTAAAAGCATCACTTAAAAAATCATTTGAAATGAAGGTTTTGGGTCATCAGACCAGAGAATAATTATAATTGATCTAATAAGAAATAAGGAGAAAGGCCGATTATGCTTACATAGAGCAAGCATATATGAAAGGTTCTAAAGAAAATTTGAATGAATGCTGCCAAATCAATTTCTTCACCTTTCAGTTCACAGATCAGTCTTTTGGTTACACAATCACCTTATATGAGATAGATCAAGTACATGGATATCATAGTCCAGTCGGCAGTCTCATGTATTCTATGATATGTACCAAACTGAATATAGCATATGCAACTAGTATGATATGCAGATACATGACTAATCTTGAGAGGTAACATTAGAGAGCTATCAAAAGGATCTTCAAAAATTTGAAAGGGTTAGCTGAAGTTGGATTGAGAAAACTGTGGTGGAGAACAAACTGCATGGTTTGTCATTTTTTATTACTTAGGAGATTTAAACAAACCATTTCACATATTGGTTATGTTTTCTTAGAATATAGGAATACAGCGAACAAATAAAGAAAAACTTCAATCAATTGTAGCTTTATCAACAGCAAAGGTAAAACACATTGTTGTGACTAAGAATATAAAGATAGAAATATGACTGAAAGGGATGGGGAGAGAGAGAGAGAGAGAGAGAGAGAGAGAGGGCGGTGTTCAAGTTTGGATCCTTAAAAGGAAAACTGACAATTATGGTTCTTCGACATTCTCCTTCTTCATTTACCACTGGATCTTGAGAAACAAAGAGCAAAGGTAATGACTCTAAAGGCGACCAGAAGAGGAACTCATTACTTGATAATGGGTGTTGGACTATGATGCACGAACACGGACACGGCGACACGGACACGACACGACACGGACACGGGACACAGCTTTTTTTGAAAATATAGGACACGGGTACGGCGCGGACACGACAATATATTTTCGTATATAATGTATATATATTAATGTAATATCATATTAAAAATGATAAATAATAATAAATGAATGACATGATAACTTGTCTAGCTTATAATATAAAATATTTAGTACAAAATATCTAGTATAACCACAAAAATATAAGCAAATAATCACTTACTACAACATCAAGCATTCAAGCTTCAACTACTAGGATTAGCTTTAGAGGTTTGTTTTTGGCCTTCAAATGCAGACGTTGATTTGGTGTTGTGGATATGAAATAAAAAATTTAGTTTAAATCTCGCCAAATATAAGAAATGATATTTTTAAAAAATTATAAAATATTTAAGATACGCATGTCGGACACGCGTGTCCAATTTGTTTTTAATATTTTTTTAATCGGACACGTTTTCGGCGTGTCCGACACGTGTCGGAAGAGTGTTGGACGAGTGTCGTGTCAGACACGGTGTCGGACACTGCACGCCTCTTTGAGGAGAAGTGTCGGTGCATCATAGGTGTTGGAACCTCATGTGTGTTTTTCCACTTGTTCATTTTCAATAAAGATTTCTCAAGTAAAATCAAGGCACAAACTGCATGGAAATCTTTGAACTAGAACATAGAAAGGCTTGCAAAAATCATATCATTGGTTGAACTAGGAAGCAATAAAAGCGGTATTGATTTCTTCGCGTGGGGTGTAAGCAACCTGTGGCGATCCATGTATGTCATCTTGTTAGTAGTTCTTTACCATTTAATGTTCTTAATGTTTTGAATTGATACTCGCAATATTTTTCATCTACATTTGCAAATAACTTTATATATATATAGTTTTAGATCTTATTTGCTAGTTATTTGTGGAATCTAAATCAATCGGGTTGTGTTGTTGACTCAAACTTCAATTCTATATGTTAAGCTCAACAAGGAGCTCGGTGGCACCGTGGCCCTTGCTTGTCAGTTTAGGGGCGAAGCCCCATGGAAAAATATCTTCTTGTCTGTATAGCGCCAAGGCACTATGGATTGGACAAAGAGCTTAGCGCCGAGATGCTGTAAACATGGCGTTGGAAGGCAAAGGGCTCATTTTGAAACACAGAAGTTTAAAAGAAAAAAAAATTTGATTTATAAGTGTTTAATAAAAAAAATAAAGTTTAGTTCCACGAAGGTTACCTCAACACTGTTTATCACAAATTTGCCCCTCAAAGACAATACAGTTGCAACAAAGAAAAATAAAGAATAAATTTGAATATAGGAGGGAAAAAAACTACTTACTTTGTAGTAGCTCCACTCAATTTTGTCCACAATCGTATAAGAAAGAGGATTATCACTGCAAAAAGCTAGCTTAGCAGTAGAAAGGTACAAGGTTCCCATAACAGGGCCAGCTGAAGTTGACAAGTAACAAGCATACGACTTTTTAAGCTGTTCTTCAGGAAATGTATCAAAAGTTTGTTGGAAAATCTTCTCGTAACCACCTTCAGCAATAACTTTGCTTCCCTGAGCTACCCTCCCCAAGGCAGCATCAGCAAAACTAGGTCCTGTTTTCACTGTGTTTGAAAAACCTCTTAGTGGCAGGCACAATATTTATGCAAATGACAGATTAGATAAAGTTCAATTAGAAAAGCACACATATAAACCTAACAGCATAAGTTCATAATGTTTTTCTATAAATATAAGCAACAGAATATGGAGGTATAATCAGTGAAACTGAAATCTTAATGAGATTAGATAGAATAAATTCCCTCAGAACCTGCAGCAACACAAGAATCACCTAACAAGAGTTTTCACAACATAAATAGACGTGCAATCATGTCTATATATATAAAAGACAGATTCGAGCAATTATTTATGATTTTATTTCCTTCAAATACCAAATCAAGGTCATTGATATTGATGCATAATTTAAGAAGTTAGAGCTTTAATATTATCATTCTATAGGAACATTTGATCATCCACTAAAAATTGATAACAAAAAATAAGTCTTTTATATGCCTTGGAAGTAAAAACAACTAATAAAAAAGAAAAATAGTGTAGGAACACAAAGATATGGCATATTTTCTTGTTTCTCCTTCAATAATAAAGCAAGATACAATTGATCTACTATTCGAGAAGTAGATCAACTCTCCCACAAACCCTAGATGCCGCTAGGAACACACAACAAACACTAGGAAAATAAACTCAACAATATCCTCCCTAAACCATAGACAAACTCTCTCTTAAATAGCCCTAGAACACAATAACACAATGAGAACCTTCCTAATCATAATAAATATAATTTAGAAAACCTTTCTAAATAAATAGAACCTTTCTAATCAACATAAACATACTATAGGAAAACTTTCTAAATAAATAAAACATTTCCAATCAACATAAACATAATTTAAGAGACATTCCTAATCAATTAAACAAGATTTAGAAAACCTTTATAAACAATAAATATATTTTAGAAAATTTTCCTAAACAATTAAACACTTCCTAAATAGCATAAACACAATCAGGAAGCTTTCCTAAACAACTCCCTCCTTGATTAGGAACCTTCCTAAATAATATCTCTTAATTAGGAACTTTCCTAAGCAACACCCTTCTGATTATAAACCTTCCTAAACAGCTCTCCCTTCCTGGATCATTAAGAATTCTGATAGTTTTAATTGCTGAAGTGCTCCGGTTAATTTCTGCTAAAATTTTGCCATAGGATTTCTTAGCAGCCTGTGCTTGCATAAATCTAAGATATTCTTGTCAGCCCTTCTCCATTGCTATTTTTTCCTTTGTTTCTTCCCCATGCTCAGTGTTATCCAGTATTCTCCTAATCTTTTTCTTCCAGCTCTTGCTTATTGATACATTGATTTCAACATCTGAAAATGCATAATCACTGTCAACACTAGCATTGTCTGAAGTATGAGATTCAAACTATTTAAGTTCAGAAAAAAGATGAGAAGCATTTTTAATGCATGTTCATCAAATCCCTCCCATGTACATTCATCATAAGGAGGGCCACACCATTTAATCAAAGCTTTTCCTCCACCATTTTCGGGTTCACTTCAAGAAATAATGTGTTGTGGCCACACCATTTAACCCAGCTGTTATGCATGTTTGATTTACCTGCCCATTTTACAAAAAATTCATAAGCAGCAAAACTAGTATCCTTAGGCCTCAATTCCAGGTTTGATTCCTTTGGGACTACAGTATCTTCAGAACTATGATAAGATTCAGGTCCCATGGTACAAGCAAGAGCATCTCGTGACATGCAATTGGCTGGCATTTCTAAAAACCTAGGTGTGTGAACCTCATTGTGGTTTTCTGCATGAAGAAATTCCACATGTATACTCTCTTCCAAACACTTTTAATGGGTCTCCAAAATTTCTATCATCACTAAGTTCAAACCCTTTGCCAGCCAAGCAATGATCTAGTGAGGGCTAACAATTTAATAACAACTCATCCTCTGTCTTGCGCATGAATTCCCTATCTCCATATGTCTTCCCATTAACATATATACCAGACTCAATGGAATACGTATCAAATTTAAAAACAATCAAATTTGCGTCATGATGCAATCAAAAATTTGGGAGAGGGACCCAAATTTTTGATCACAAAAAAGAGATTACCTTTCTAAGAATAAAAGAAACTTACAAAACTTATAATAATTAGACAAATTAAACAAAACAAAACACAATTTTAATATTATAAAAACTATTACAACTTGGACACTTACAAACGACTCCAACTTCCCATCTACAACTTTACTTTCTTTAAAACAATCTACTTGATCATGTTTTCACTGACCGATTGAATCACAAGATGGAAACCCAATTTGCTTGAGAATTGACCATGCCAATTGCTTAACTAATACATGACGACTCCTTTTGAACTCGACACCCCATAATGCGGGCAACCTGAGGTATGTTATGAAAAAAAATTTTCATGATAAGTGATTGTCATCTCAGAATTTTCACCTCATCCACTTAACTCATGAGACATGAAGTGTGCTCCATCAGGAGAAATCTGAATTTCATCCTTCAAATCTTCCGGCTTAATCAATTCAATGTCATCTTTATCCTTTGAGAACTCTATATTAGCTGCATCTTGTGTCTCAGCCTCAACATTTCTATCTTCAGAAACACCCATTCTAGTAGAATCCAAAGGTGCTTTCGCTGGTTTTCTTTCATTCTCAGTCGTTTGCTTGGTTTCAATGTCTTTTATATCTTCATTTTTTTATTCTGAGAATACAGGTTCTTGGGATGTGGATGTCTTGGCATAATCACTTTGCACAAGACTTAGGTTTTGATCAACACCATCAGCTTGGCCTTGCAAATTTATTTCTTTGTCTTCTTCATTCACATCTTTGTCGATCAATTTATCCTCGAAAAGAGCTTGTGTATCACTTATTGAACTCTCCCATCTGCTCTTCCATCGGCCTGCTTGTGTCGATTGTAAAGGCTTACGACCATTTTGTCCTACGGGATAGTGCGATCGTACTCTTTGCATTCGAACCACACGAGCAGAATCCTTTCGGAGACCCACACTCTCACTCTTATTCTTCTCAATCATTCATATCTTCAACTTTCTTACCCTAAAATTGTTTCACCGCCCCAATAGCTTCTTCCTCCCCCAGTGCAGCAGTTGTTGTGATCCCTCCATGTTTCCCCAGTGTATCAAGGGTGGGAATCCCCCCTTTCTTCCACACGTTTCACATGACCCGATTCCCATGGCTCGGCTTGTCCCCCTCCTTATTCGGTCGTCCACTCCCCTTACCTAAAAGACCTCTCATATTGGTCGTTCACCCCACCACTTCCATGACGAAACTCCCTTCTTGTTGTACCCCCATCCGGAAACACTATTCCACCCCTTATTAGGGCCCTAGGAGGTGGCTCTTGATGAAAGGAGCTTTCGTTGTCGAACTCTTCCCGTCTGATCTCTTTTCCTCATATTCGACCAAGGTAATTCTGATAAAATCTTGATTAGGGTTAGCAATTGGAACCGTCGGTAGCGTTTTAGATCGCATCGCCATGAGCTTTTTTATCATCTCCTCCAAAATTCACTTTCTCTTTGGTTTAGCCCTAGAAATCACCAGTGAAGCTTTTGACTGCATCTCGATCATCTTCTTCACCATATCCTACAATTCCTCAAAGCGAGTCTCAATGGATGAGAGCCTTCCTTCCACAGTTGAGAACCTTCCTTCCATAGATGAAAACCTCTTCTCCATGTCGAATTTGATTTGCTCCATCTTACTTTCAACCGTCTCAACCTTCTTTGCTGCCATAGGTCCCAAAAAAGTGCTTTGATACCAATTTGATATGCCTTAAAAGTAAAAACAACAAATAAAAGAAAAGAATAGTGTAGGAACACAAACATATGACTGATTTTCTTAGTTCTCCTTCAATAATAAAGCAAGATACAATTGATCTATTATTCGAGAGGTAGATCAGCTCTCCCACAAACCTTAAATGCCACTAGGAACTCACAACAAACACTAGGAAAATAAGCTCATCAATATCCTCCCTAAACCATAGACAAACTCCTCCTTAAATAGCCCTAGAACATAATAACATAATTAGAACCTTTCTAATCAGTATAAACATAATTTAGGAAACCTTTGTAAATAAATAGAACCTTCCTAATCAATATAAACATAATTTATAAAACCTTTCTAAATAAATAGAACCTTCCTAATAAACATAAATATAATTTACGAAATTTTTCTAAACAATTAAACATGATTTAGGAAATATTCCTAAACAATTAAATATATTTTAGAAAATCTTCTTAAACAATTAAACACTTTTTAAATAGCATAAACAAAATTGAGAGGGAGCCCCGTGAGACATTTGTTATTTTCGGCTTGGACCGGTAAAAGGAAGAAGGAAATAGCATTTTTAATTTAAACTTAAGTGAGTAGGACCCTTTAATGAGGTGCACGCCTCAACCAAAATTGCGCAATACTGCAATTGAGGTGCGCCTCACTATACTTGAGGCGTAAGCCTCAGAAAACGCCAAAATTGCTTAGGCAATAAGGCAGCATGGGTCCAAATTGCGCAGAGGCGCGCCTCTTATTGTGCAATTTTAAACTATGCATCCACTAACACAAACATACTCTCACTCACATGTTTATATAATTCAACAGCTATCAAGGGATAGATTACTCTCATAGCTCTACTCCTTTTCAAAAGAATGTAGGCTCAAGATATGCAATGGTTTCTTTAATTCATTAGTAACCGTTGATCCTTTTGGCCCGAAAAGACTCTTAGATTTAGTGGGTATTAAAACTATCCCTCTTCCTAGATCTTAAGCACATAAGTATTGCATATCCAAATCATACAACCATGATCAACCTGAAATGACATGTGCAACATCTATAAGTAAAGTGTCAAACCAAATCTATCACTAAGTAGAAAGCCGAATGGATACTAAGCACCATTAAGTTAAAAAATTGCAATTTTATCTGTCCTAGCTATTTTGTATGATTATGGGTATGGCTCAATTTTCAAACTCTATGTTCAAGGAAAACCTAGAAACAACATGCATGCAACTTCCATTATCAATAATAAGTTTACATAATTTTTCACCATACTTGGTTAATGTTCGAAAGATACACGCTTGTTTGTGATAAGGTTCAATCTTAGCTGTGATTATGATGTATCACATAACATTTAAAAAGTTCTCAATGAAGGATTTCAAGAAGCATTAATCTCCTCGTCAAATTCAAATCAAACATTCTCATCATCATCATCTTCGTTTTCAACAATAATATGCAGGTTTCTATTAGAAAACTTACGAAAAGACACATTTGAAGATATTTAAAACAAACCTTAGCAGTAATTTTGGAGACTGATGTCGAAGTTATAGATTTTCACTTAGAAGTTTTGTTAACGACAGTGTTACTTCATTTAAAAGAAATAATTTGAGTAAAAGTTTCTTTGAGAAATGAGATATTTCCATCACAGAATAAAATTCTTTTAGGTGCAGGAAATTTTTGTAGTTTTTCAAAATCCATGGCAAGTTGAAAGGCCCCCTTAAGTGAATTAAAGTTAAGTGTTATCATTTCTTCTTTTTTCTTTAAGTTTAGGTCTTGCGCAAGATCTAAACCTAGAAAGCATTAATCCTTGTTTCCAAATGTAACAAAAATTCTCCAAACTTCTCCATAAATAATCATGGCAGGTTACTGAAAAACAAAAATTTAAACCCAACTAACCCAGGTTTTGGATTGAATATTGAACTAGTTTGATATGGATGCTTTAGCATCTAAATTTATGCTTGAGCAGGTAAAGACTTCCAAAATCCCAATAAGGGTATTTTCTAGTGTAGACTTTGGCAACCGCGCAAGCGCGCACACACATATATATGGCAATCTAGGACAGCACAGCAAACAACAAACATTAACCCCAAATTACAAAAGGATAATCGAATCGGTAGCTTCGTGATGTAGAATAAAACAAGTAAAGTAAATGGAAATTAAGATAAATAGGAACTTCTTCAAACAAATATAATCCGAATCTCTCAAGTCTGAACTCACAGTGTTGCCAAAAGTTCCCAGCAAAATCCTCGGTCTTCTTCGCCGTCTCCCCCAACTTCATTCCCCACTTCCCCAGCACTTCCTTCACTGATTCCATGGTATCTAGTAAATCGAATCCCACATCAGCCCTAGTTTTCGAAAAAGTAGATAATGAATAAAGATAAAGCTTAAAAAAGGGGGGAAAATCTCACTCTTGGAGGAAGCCGGTGCAGGGGTGATGTAGGGGTTTCCCTCCACCGGCATGGAGATAGTCTCGTGTTCATCTGTGTCCCATGTAGTCGTATTAGGATGCGCCTCCTTGACCAGATCACTACTCCAGCTGACGGACTTGGGCGATGAACTAGACGGAGGTGGAGGAGGGGGTTGGACGTCGGTTGGGCCGATCTTAGGGTACGGCGCATACTCCACTGATTGACCTCCGGTACTGGCGCCGTCGCCTTCCCCTGCAGAGGCGGACGTGGTTTTCTGGGCGGAGTGATCTGTGGGGGTCTCCATAATCGACAACCTAGCAGGCCTCGGTTACTTTTATTTAATCCGTCGCGGAATTCCTCGGGAGAGTTTCGTTCCGTGAATGCTAAGAGCTACATATTTATTTATTTATTTTATATATAGCAGTCAATGCTCAGCGGTAACGGCTTCGGACCTTTGACTTTAACAAAGATCCAAAATCCCGTTTTTACCCTCCGTGGTCGTGAGCGCTTGTTTTTCATTAATTAAAAACTTAGAAAATACGAGGGTTATAAAAGTCCTAAAAAAACAGGCATTCCTTTCGTGATCAAAATAATACAACAACATCAAATCTTTATCCTACTAGGTAGTATCTGCTCCATGAATCTTTTTTCGTCATTGTATATTGTTAAAAGTTAAATTTTCATTTAAATATAATAAAGAAATATCATTTCTAATATTTTTTAATCATGTCTTTTTATGTCTATCTTTACATTTCTTAACATAAGACAATATAATACCTCAACTTTTTTAATCGGGTCATCGGAAGGCCTCTGTTTAATGTGACCAAATCATATAAGGCAACTCTCGCTAATCTTATCTTCCACTGGAGATACTCCAACCTTTTCTCGTAAATGCTATTTCATATTCTATCTTTAAGGGTAAAGCCATTCATCCACCTGAGCATCCTCATCTCCGCAACACTTAGAGAGTGTAATAATAATAAAATGAAGGAGATAAGATAATAATAAAAAGTTCTTATAAAATATGAGAGAGTGTAACATCAATAAATCAAGATACAAAATAAAATAGCGCAAATGTTCACTGACTATATCTTGAAGCAATATTCATATTAAAAATTTTAAAGATAGAAATTAATTTTTATAAATTATTAGAATTAAAAATAATGTAGATAACATCGATTAACATGGATACAATCAATGATAATGAAATGAGACAAAAAAAATTACTGCCCAATTCCATCATATCTATAATGGAGTGGATCATCACCAATAGCACCTAAAATTGCAAATGTATACTTCAATGTTAGCAATATCATTAAGTGGAGTTAACAACATACATATAAGAAAATAAGAGATTATCTTGCAACAGATTATTTACATCAGCCAAGCTGAAAAATAGCAGTTGAATATGTTCATGAGAACCATCAATTCAAAAAAAGATTCATCAAAAATATGAAAATTTGTCAAAATCATCATAAAAATATACTCTTTGAATGTTTCTAGACAAAGAAGTTTTGAATTTTATTTCCTATTTTTTCATCAATTGACAAAGAATGTTTTTCCTTCAAATCATTTGATTCGATCTATCTCACTCAAAAGTGATATGATGACGCTCAATCTAAATGTATAAAATAGTAACATATGTGGCAAATAGAGTAAGCCTTTTAGTAATTTTACGTACAAAAAATTCAATATGATGCAAAGTTTGCTATAAGGAAAATTACACAAAAGAAATAGCCATTTGATATGCATTATTGCAACATACCAAAAAAGATTGGACAATGAAAGAAAAGGTGAGTATGCAATTCAATGTCATTGTTACATGCCACACATGTTTGATCAATTTGTAATCTTTTGTTTGTCAAAAATATCTTTAGTTTTGAAGCTCTTAACTTAAATTTTTCAACCAAATGATGCAAAATTCTTTTCATGGCCTTTAAAGTCATTGTGGGTGAGTTTTGGTGGAAAATTTGATAGGCATATTTATGAAAGAAAAAAAAAATTATTGCCCTTCAATATAGAGTTAGTGTTAGAGTCACTAATATAAATGTAAAACTTTTTGATTGATGCAACTAGAATCATGTAATAACTCAAATATGTTAAATAAATCTTTTTGAAAAATATGAAAATTCTGAAGTAGAGCGGTGTGGCGGTGATTTGGTGAGCGCTGCGGTGCTAGGCCGTGAATAGTATATATATATATATATATATATATATATATATATGGAAGAGGAGAGGGGAGAGTTGATATGATTTTATTACATTTTAAGTGAATTACTAAATGATATCATATATATGATATGATAACTCCACGTGATACCCTACTGATCCATGTGATTCACTGATTAGGAGTCATAAGGAGCTGAAGATTGATTGGGAGTATAAGGAGTTGGAGTGACTAATTCATGTGATTCAATGAGAGTTATAAGAAATACATTGATTAAGAGTAATAAGGGGCGACTGATTGAGAGTTATAAGTGTAGGAGCAATATACTCTTAATATACACTCATTGAATATATGAATATTGATAGCGACACTATTGCGAACAATGTACTGATATTATGATTAACAATAATACTATTTTTTGTCATTAATAATATTTAATGTTATTGACCATGATGCTAATATTATTACTTGTATTAGTACTATTGATTACTAGTAATATTGTAACTAATAATATAATGGATTGATATGTGATGAAGTATGAAAGGATAAATTGATACAAATAATCAGTATATATTGATGCACATATTTCTTTATATGATTTATAGCATGTTGTTCTTTTTTATCTTATATTGATTTTAATTGTAAGATTTTAGTTACTTGCTCAATTATGTTCACATGATTTTACATATATCTAGGAAAAGTTAAAGATTCTTGTTGTGTTTTGTTCCTAGATTTAGGATTATTCTTGTGTAGGTTTCTTGTTTGGCATGTATGACCAATAGCGTTGCTTGTTATGTTGCTTTTGTGCCTATAAATAGGCTATAGATTGTATTAGGAGAAAAGCCAAGAAGAGAGAAATAAAGAATTTGCTGAAGTTTGGCTCACTCCTCCCCTCTCCTCTCTCAAGATCCGGTGGAAGTGCTTCTTCTACAAGGAAAGAATCTCACATCTGGTATCAGAGCCACGGTGGTGGTGATCTCAAGGTGGAGGAGGCAGAGGCCGGTTTCTTGTCTAAGGAAACGGAAGGAGGCGGTCTCGGCGGCAGGCAGCGGATGCCGCGATCAGAGGCGACTTTGGCTAGGCATTAAGGTCGAGGTCAGGTCGGAGAGTCCGACCGTGTTGGTTTTGGGCTCAGCGAAGGGAGCATGGACGGTGGCTTGCCGGTGACTTTGCAGGAAATTCTGGCAAGATCCAAGAAGGCGACAGCTGGACGTTCGGAGCGGGAGTATCCCGCGAGTTCGGTCGCGGGATCAGCCCCCGAGTTCGTTCGGGATCAGCAGAAGAGCTGAGTCGAGCATCGGGTTTGCGGTTGGCATAGTGTGCGGTCTTGTGCTGAGCGGGCCAGGGCAGTGGTCCGGAGCAGTGTCCGTGGGATCGGGAGTGCTGTCTGGCCGAAATCTAGGCCAGCGGGTTTCTCACGGGATTTCGGTGGGCTGGCCGAAGGCAAGAAGGAGATCTTGAAGCAGGAGGTCATTTGGCTTGTGAATGATAAGCTGATCGTCTGCATGAGCTTTCGCATGAAGGAGATCTTGGAGCAGGAGGTCATTTGGCTTGCGAACCAGAACCTGGAAATTGATTATGCAGAGATGATGTCATGATGACATCAAAAGTCTTCTAGCAAGTTGAGAAGACAAATGTGAATTCGAGGAATTCTTGCAGCCAGACGGCATTGATTCAAGTTTGTTGGCACGGGTACGAGGTGGAGTTTTGGACTTCAGGTGGAGTCAGGGAGACACTGAGATGGTGTCGGCTATTCTTGAGGAGTAGTGTTGAAAGTGCGGGGCGCTTGGAGATGCGAGGTCGTGCGGTGCACGAAGAGTACGCATAGGAGCGCGGGGCACTGGTGAAAGACACGTAGGGTGCTGGCCGAACGCGGTAGTGCGGAGCATGGTCTTGTGACGAGCGGAGCGCAAGTAAAGGCGTAGGGCTAGCTGCACGGGTGGATACGTGCAGGACGTGGTTGGAGAGAGACTACATGAGTGTAAGGCGCAGGGCGCGAGCTTGAGGCGTATGAGGCGGGCTAGAGGCGTAGGGCGCGGGCACGATGCGCAGGGTGCAGGTAGATACACAGGGTGCGGATGCCGGGCAAGGAGTGCTCGGGATTGGCTGCGTTGGACGCAGTGCGACAGGAGATCTGCCGGGAGGTGGAGCTAAAATGTCAGTGGATGCTTTTGGCCGAGGAGACCGACAAGGTTGTTCTTTGGCTGTTCTTTAAAGAATAGTGTTTATCTTTTATTTTTGTAAATCTATGACCAAGGTGAAGATTGTTGTGTTTTGTTCCTAGATTTAGGATTATTTTTGTGTAGGTTTCTTGTTTGGCATGTATGACCAATAGTGTTGCTTGTTATGTTGCTTTTGTGCCTATAAATAAGCTATAGATTGTATTATTAGAAATAAATAATTTACTGAAGTTTGACTCACTCCTCCCCTCTCCTCTCTCCCTCCTCCTCTCTCAAGATCCGGTGGAAGTGCTTCTTCCACAAGGAAAGGATCTCACAATTCTATGATTTGAGACTCCAGACAAGGCAAAAAATGCAATCATATTTATTTTTGTTGTTCATTGGTAAGTTCATAATGTAATTCTTCTAATATAGATATTGGAGTGTGACATGTCCCTAATAGATGAGTCTCTATAAAGATTCTAAATAACATTTGAAATTAAATCCTTCACTTTAGCATTAGGGGGTGTCCAAATTACTCAAATTTGTCAAAAATTGATAAGCCGACTAGCTAAAGGTCTTAAAAGACGAATAAGAAGATTTCCTTATTGACTTTAAAGGATATCCCATTGTGAATTCAAATAGTGATGATATAAAGAGAGATCCAAAGAGGTGAAGAAAGGTCCAAGGAATCATAGTAATAAATAGTATTATAAATTCTACAAATAAGCATAAATTTACACATTTAATTGAGAATGTCCAGAGAAAGGATTCCCAATTCTTCTTTTATCCATCAACAAGGAGGAATAAGAAGGCCATTATTTAGGTAGATACCGAATCTTCAAAACATCAAAAGGTGGTCCATTATTAGGAGGTAAAACAAAGTCAACAAATCAAATAGTTTTAAACAGTGAATCTTATAAGCTTCAATCTACCAACAAAGATATCAGCTTTTGTTTCCAACCTCCCAACCATGATACAAATAATCAGTATATATATTGATGCACATATTTCTTGCATGCTGTTCTTTTTTATCTTATATTAGTTTTAGTTGTAAG